TGTGTGTGTGTGTGTGTGTGTGTGTGTGTGGTTCTTCCTGATGGCAAAAGTTAACTCTTCCTGAAGAAACTCTGAATTGTGCAACATCTTTTTTCAAATATACCAGAAACCATTCCATAAGGCAGCATCTCTCTCTCTCTCTCTCTCTCTCTCTCTCTCTCTCTCTCAATCTCATCTCTATCTATCTACCTCCTATAACAGTCATGAGCCAAGCATTTAAAGAGTTGACCAGCAACTTAACACATCATTTTGGTGAGTGTGTATGTAACACATAGAATAGAAAGATGCATATATCTTTTCAAAACATTTATATTTAAAAACTCTTGGTATTAACTTTGGGAATAAAACATTTCCCTTACCTGTATCCATATGTATGTATGTATGTATGTATATGGAACTCCCTTTTCTCTTCACACCATTTCAAATTTTCGTTGGCTCCACTGAAAAAATATTTACACTTCCACAAAGAAGTAGAAATTTATAACTTTCTGCATGGGCACTATAGTATCTAGGCATTAATGAAGGTGTGGTAACTAATCCATCAGAAAACAGAATGCTGCTGTTGTTTTTGATACCAGTATTTTGGGGGCCGATTTTCTGCAAGTGAGCAGACACCAGTGAATGCTAGTTGCAAGTCTTGATAGTTACATGGAAAATCTGGCATTTTTCCTTAAAATTAGTATCTGGCTGCAAGTATTCACTCTGCCCAGGCAAGAGATGACCAGCTCCTCTGTAGACATCAGTGCATTTAACAACATCCATAAAGGTTATTACTGCATTCAAACGGCTCCAGGATCTGCGAGTCCCCTGATAAGGCAGGAGTCCTGATCGTCCGGATACTTGCAAGCATGCTTGGTTCCTTCTGCCTTCCCTACAGATCAGCGGGCTATAGGGACTACAGAGGTACCCATGTTCTTGTGAACAGTGCAGGTAGATACTTTAAATCCTGTGGGAGCAGCTCTGCAAAACCCTTTTGATGATGGCCACATTTACTTGAGTAAAACCTTCTCCATTCCCTCCATTTTACTATCAATTAAACTGCAAAACCACCTAGCAGCCCCCTCCCCTTTCCAGGTCCTATAACATATATCGACAATTCCCATGATCCATTCCCAACTAAGAAGTGGCCCAAGGCAGTTAGTGTCAAAGGAACATGAAGAGCTCCAAGAGTTGATAGTCACAAACATTTCAAATTTTGAGCAACATTTTTAGTTTTTTTTAAAAAATGGTCTTCCATTCTAACTATGAAACATCACCTCGACGGCTTCAAAATGTCATTGGTGTGTGGCACTGCACTCACATTTCAAAGTAAGCATGTAGTCTTAGACAAAATATTTTGATCTTGATAGCTACTAAATCCAAAATCTCATAAAATATGTACTATTTATTAGCTATTAACTACCCATTATCAGCTTGAATATCACTGAATATCAAAACCAGATTTTGTGATAATTGAATAGTTTGACTATTCAACAAATATGTGAGCTTATGGAGAAACAAAGGATATTCAACATTTGCAGAGGGTTTTTTCCCCCCAGCAATAAACTTATTTCAGATCTAGCAGCCCCTGCTCCATTGAATATGTTTCTCCCCTATTATCCTGCCACAAACCAAACATCTGGTGATAAACCCTACATGACATCACTTTTTGCTGTCTTCACTGACCCCAAAGTTTCACTGAGAGCTGATTGTGAAATTATTGCAGCCCACTGGCATTAGTAAGCTCGGTGGCTTCTGAAACAAATCCAAACCAACATGCCTAATTAACGGCATTATAGGATTGATGAGGGTAAATTCTAAGAATCAGGAAAAGGTAGAAAACTATCACTGCTTTGAAAATATAAATTGCCAGGCTGAATTCTGATATTTCTGTCAGAGGCCTCTTGGTCCATTGATAAGAAGGTATCTATGCAAAAATAAATGGATGTAATCAGCAAGCATGAAGGTGAAAAGAAGATGTGCACCATTTATGATTTTTCAGGGAGAAAACTGCTGGAAATATTAACTGTTCATGCTAACTGTGCTCATCTCACTAAAGTCTCTGGCATTATTGATATGCTACTTTGCCTAGAGTTGGCAATGCAATGAAAGCAAGTGGTATCTTTCATAGGGTTATATCTTTGGAGTCTAACTTTCATGGAACTTCTCAAGTCTCGCTAAAAATACTATCAACTTCATGTGAAGCTGAGTCCTTAACACTTTTTTGTGCGATTTAGTGTTTATAATTCTCAAACTAACATGAAAATATTACATTAACTGAATACTGTAGCTATAGCATCAGCAAAGTGGGAAAGTCGGGGGTAATATGTTTGTGTATTAATTTGTCTAAAGGAGTCAAACCTTTGTTCTGTTATTATCATGGAAGGTTGCAGTGCAATGCCAAAAAATGCCATTATCAGTAAATTTACTCCATTTTCAACTTAGGGTTCAGTTAATTAAACTCACCTTTCATATATTGTTTCATGATTCAAAATTTCCTATGTAATACTGAGTTAATGCCCAGATCTGGGACTTTATAGGGAAGCATATTTTTTTGCTTCATAAGTCCAAGTTCCTACCCGGAGCCACCTGGGAGGTGAGATCCTATATGAACATCCATCTGCGCACTGAGGAGTTGTGTAAATTGAAGGGGATTCAAGTGAGGGTAATCCAAAAGGTGTACTTACATTCAAAATATTAAGATAATTAGATTTTACAAGAAACAAATAAAGATAAGCTGTGAATGGAGGCTCACATTTTCAAAATAGTTAATCAGTATATCATGATGAAGAACCCAACCTTTGCCAGGCTTTGCCATTACTCCTAAGTGTGCCCACAAAATTATGCTGCTCATTCTGCATTTTTGGTAGGGTGAACTGTCAAGTCCCATTGACTGAACAGCTGAAATGAAAGAGAAAGGATAAGGTGACAGACTTCCTTCCACATAAGATTGCCAGCTCCTGTCTCAGAGGTTGTCTCTAAAAACTGTATCTGTTTATATCACTTAGCATGGTTTCAACCTGAAGAACATTGGTATTTGTTAACCCGTAATGTGCAAAAAATTATCTTTAGGAGAGAAAGTGGACTGATTTAATGGTTTAGGGTAGCTATGTCCTGAAAGAATTTTTCCTGTTCAAGTGATATAGCTGAAAAATGCTGCAGGTGCAAAACGGCTCATACTCTTGTAGATATTAAAATTAGAACAGAAAAAACATCTTCTGGGAGGCTTGAAGCATGGGTGGACTTTTGTCTCCCAGTAAAACTTTGGGATCAGGAAAAAGATCCTTTTCAAAGATCTTTACCCCAGAGGGCTACAAAAGAGGGAAAAGGATAAAATCAGATAATCTGTATGGCTTGCCCCATTTTGAATTTGTCTGCAGAGACCTTGTTGGCTGCACCACTGACATCTTGTCATTCTTATAAATCAACATTCTTTTTCTGAGCAATTGCTATGAATTGTCCATATTTGTCCTTAATGATGTTGTGTTGCCCAGTCTGATGAAATATGATAAAGTCACTGTTGCTCAGAAGAAGAGTATTGTTTAAAAAATCAGCTCCCAGGGGCTGTGAATACTAGTCAATAAGTGGGGGACAAAGCTGACTGTTTGGGATGGGAAGTTCCTACAAGCTTCTTTTTCATGTGAAAAAGATAACATTTCTTTCTGCCCTATTAAAACACCAAATAAGCCTAAAGAGTCAGGAAACAGCCTTCTTACTTTAGAAGTAGTAGTGCAAGTAAACATATATACAAAAGTTGAGCCTTTCTATGTCTTCTTTTAGAAAACCATACTGAAAATCTGCTCTCAGTCTGGTAGAGACGCGAATTGAGACTTCTGAATGCAAAGTTTGTTTTGAAGAACTAGTCTTCCATTTGTGGTAACTGTGATCATATTTTGAAGGCAGGCTTGAGGAGCAGCGCTACTGGGCAACATGATCTCCTAAAGATCACTACTGAACACTTCGGTGATGTTAGAACAAGACTGATCTTCTGCAATCCTGCCCTGACCCAAAGGGCTGTGCAAATCTGTATGATCTCCAGACCGGGTGTTACCTTCAGTGGACAACGTGGTCTTGTAAGGCTCAACATATATCCTGCGGATGTTTGGCCTCAGTTCCTGGTATTTGTCTTTCCCTTCTTCTGGGAGGCTTGAAGCATGAGGTAAGAAAGTGCTGCGGGGACAATCAATAGAAATGCTGATCTGCTCACCAGGAGTGGGCTCTTGAGAGAAGTCCATGGCTTGCATGAGATGGGGAGTGTAGAGACCTTCAGAAAGAGAGACAGACTGGGTCTCACTGTGTACACGGAGCCAACGATGGTGTCGGCTGAAATAACTGTAGTGCTGATGTTTCCCATGTTTCTTCTTCCCTAGAAAACTCAAGGATTGCCTTGAGCTGGAATTCTTTTCTGTGCTTTTTGGTGAAAGCCTTCCTATTGACAGGCTCTGCATGTTCTCTGTAGACTGGTCCACATCTGCCTCTAAGACACTGCTTCCTCTTGGGTTTTGTTTTGGAGTTAGGCAAGGTTTGATATCATGGACATGGAGGACATCTGGGGCACTGCCACTCAGACAACTCACTGCCTGATGGGAGATATCCTGGGAGGATGAATAAACCAAATCCAGCTCCCTTGGACTCAAAGCATCACTAGAATCATAGTCACTGTCGGTTGGGAGGAACACTTCTGAGCAACCTTCTTCATCAGAATATGGCTGGGAATCTGCAAAAAGAATAGAATTGATTAACCCTGGGCAGACTGCATGTTTTAGCTGCATGCCTATCTATCTTCTGCATCAAAATGAACCTGCGATAGAAGGCTTCTTTGTTACTGAATGCACTTCTACAAATACGAAGACAGGAAGTTAAGAACTGTTCTGCTGTTGGAGGCATCATGTCCTACTGAATAGCTTCCCTTTGGTGGAGGATGTGGAGGAATGTATTGCTGAAAATGTTAGTGCTGATCAGGATGGGGGTGGTGGGATCATGGCCCATTGAGGAGATAGCTTTAGACTGCTTGCTCCTAAGCAGATGTACTCAGGACCCTCATTTATTCTGAGAAGGAAGCTGAGCATTCTGGTCTCAAGGCTGTGTAGAATTACTTGGCCATCAAACACAGAAGGGTCCATTGTAAGAAATAACAAGAGGGACTTCTTTGGAAAAATTCTACTCAGGAACGATCTCTGCTTCTGAGTAAAAGTCTTATTCAGCCTTTTTTTTTTTTTGCTAAGCCCTTTTTAAGGGTCTACAAA